CTCCCCCCTCCCCCTTCCTTTCCCCGCCCCTCCTCCCTTTGTGCCTGGTGATATTTTTTTTCCTCCCTGAGTATAAATGCAACGCGCCTGCAAAAAAGGCAAAGACCTCAGACTCTCCTTCCAAGGGACCTATGGTTTGTGCTGTGAAGATGCTTCCACATAAAGCATGAGAAGTGGGGTGTCGGGGTGTGGGGTGTGGTGTGTGCCCTCATAGATGGGGGTGGGAGTGTGGCTGGTGTGTGTGTCAACCCCTCACTCCCCCACGCACTCACACACAGCATTCTGTTCTCCATGCAAAGTTCAGATCGAATCCACCCGATTGTAGGGGAAAAAAAGAAGAAAAAAATCAACCAGAGAGGGTCTGTAATCGGGCAGAGCACAGACAGAATCGCTCCTTCCTTGCTGCATTTCCTCCTTAGAATAATAGACGTTTTGGAAAGTTCGGCTAGTGTTTGTGTTTGTCGTAGCACCCAGCGCCTCCACCAAACCTCTCCGTGTCTTTACCTCCCAGTTGCTCTGAGAATCTGCTTGAAGTCTTGTATTTGTACTGCTTTCTGCTTTTCTCCCACCCCTCCCAGCATCCTCATATCCCCCCATTCACTAACATCTCAGAAATTCCATCCAGAGGAACAACAACAACAACAACAACAAAAAAACCTAAAAATAGAACATAGCAAAGCAAAGACAGATTGCCCCCCCACCGCAATATTGCCCTGTCCCTGTCTGGGAGTTGTGTTATTTAAAGATATTCTGTATGTTGTATCTTTTGCATGTAGCTTCCTTAATGGAAAAAAAGAATCCTAATAAATTTCCAGAATCGTAATTCTCAAATGGGTGGTTTTCTTGTTTTTAGTGTTTTTAGCGACACCCCCCTCCCTCAAAGAGGCTGAGTGTGTGGATGTGTGTGTTTTGTGTTTGACTCATCTCCTAGAGCCTTTCTAGAATGTCTCTTGGCGGGTTTAATGTAAGTGAGAGACCATAACGTTGATTTAAATATTATCCAGGTGACCACAATAAGTCAAGGTCATAAAACAGTAATGTCAGGACGGTCTTGGTGCGCGCGAGAGGTGGATTTTATGATCTGCAAATATAATGTGGTGCTGCAGTAAAAGATGCATTTAAAGGTGACTGGAGGAGGGAAAGAGGCAGAGAGCAAACTGCAATCTTGAGGAGCAGACGGATCTGATTGCCTGGGGTGCTGGGCTGAGTGCACCCCACCGCTGCTGGGGGGCACCCCAAGAGGCCCCCACCCATTCAAGGAGAGGAATAAACTTAACCGCTGGAGGGGCACGAGGAGCTCAGTCCCCCCACCCCTCGACAGCAGCTAACAGAAGCGCCGGCAGCAGCAGGAGGAGGAGGAGGCAGCGACAAGGTAAGGGAAGCGGTTTCTTGTTCTTCTCTTGGCGGCGGAATGGGGACTAACGGCGTCCCCAGGTGCCCAGCGTGCAGCGGGCAGAGCGGGAGGAAGGTGTTTCGGGTATCAGTGCTTGCTGAGAGCCCAGGCTTGCCTTGAGGCTGCTAGCAGTGGAGGGCAGCGTCCGGGAGCTCCTTCTCCTCCCTTTCCAGCCCATTGGCGTGGGGTTCAGCGGCTAAAGGGGTAAATTGGTGGTTTTTGGCTCCTTTATCTTTTGGGGCACTTAGGGTTGTGGGCACTTAGGGTTGCTGGTGGACACACTGGTCTAGGTGCTGCTCAGTCTGGTCATCTGTTGTGAGGGGGAGGGGGTAGAGAGGGCTATAGCTTGAAGCTTAGGTTTTCCTGCTTTTTGCTGGTTGGGTGTGAACATTGTCCAGGCTCTTGGTCCTCACGTTCCCTGGCTGTGGGGCTTTGGCAGGCAAGTGGCCTGAGTGGAAGTGAGTGCAAAGCACAGGCACTGTGGTTTGGCCACACGTAGTCGCTGGGAAGCCCCAACTGAGCTGAGAGAGGGAGAGGACCTCAGAGGGAGTCTAGGAGGAGAGTGCAAGAGAGCCAGATGGACAAGACAGGGGACCCAGCTCAAGAGGGGAAGGACCATCCGCTTCCCCCAGGGCCAGGGCCAGGGCCAGATGTGGGGAAGTAGCTCCACTGCGGTGCTGGGGGTGGGGCGGGGATTTGGCGGCTAGCGGTCCCATCTCACCAGATTTTTCCTGAGCAATTTGCTAAGACCAGAAACTGATGAAGGCAGTCAGACCCCTACCCACTCAACCACCTAAAGCCTACTCTCTAGTCCTTAGGGAGGTTATGGGGGCGGAAAGGGGGACGGGGCTGAATTTCTTCCTTCCCCAACCCCCTTCCCTTCTCCTCCGGATAGATGCAAAGCTGAATCTCCCGCCCTACT